CCCCCCCCCCCTCACCTTACTGGGCATCCCTGCTGCGTCAGTGCCACGTTGTTCTGCGCACTTGCCACTACCCAGCATCAGCTTGCTTTTGTTTTTGCTCACTGCGCTGGGTCTAATTGTCAAGTTACTGGAGCGGTGCTCGGGCAGCCACAGGGCGCGTACGAGGGCGGGGAGCAGGGCGGCGCGCTGCGCGCACGCGGCGTCAGGCGGCCAAGCTTCTGGAACAACTCCCCCGCACGACGAGCGGCCTCAGGGAGTGCTGGGGCGCGGCCGGACGGCCACGCGGTGGGGCACTGGGGTTCCCGCGGGACAGTTCCCGGGCGCTGACTGTTCCCTACCCCGAGGCTCCCAAAGGAGCCAGCTAAGGAACGCAGCCCAGCCCCGGCACTCTGGACTCGGCGGGGGACTCCGCCCCCCGTCGCCCATTACAGTGCGCTGTCGCCGGGCGCCCGGGAGCATGCGCGCTTCTCGCCTTCCGCGCCCTCTTTCGCGTACACTCCCGAATACGCTTGCGCCCCATCGGGACTATGGCTGGCCAGCGAGAGCAGTCCGTCCCCGAGACGGCCAATAGGCGCGCGGAACGGGCCCGCGGCCGGCCTCCCGGCTATTCGAGGTCCCGCCCACGTACCGCCCCCCACATCCCGCGGCTGCGCGCAGAGGGGCTGCCGACGCCCTGAGCCCAGGCTCTTTGGGCCGCCCTTCCCGCGGTGCGAGCAGCGGAGGGGTTTCCCTTCGCCTCCGGTTGAGGTTTTCTTGAGAGGTGGAGTGGGAAGGAAGTCTGTAAAAGTTATCCATTCCTTAGTCATTCGACAAATGTACACTGCGCACGGGACGAGTGCCAGGCACTGTGCGGACACCGGTAATAAGGCACCCGGGATAGGGTACAGGGATAGGGCGCCAGGGTAGACAGCGGGGATAGCGCGTAGGGACTGGGCGCCAGGGAGGACGGGGATAGGGAGCAGGGATAGGGCGTGGGGATAGGTCTTTGGCGATAGGGCACCGGGGATAGGGTGCGGGGATAGGGTGCGGACAGGGCACCGGGGATAGGGAGTGGGCATAGGGCCTCAGGACAGGGAGCTGCGATAAGGTACCAGGGCATGAGGCCCAGGGGATAGGGCGGGGCACCAGACACACCCTATTGTGCCTACCCTATTGTGCTTACCCTGGGACACGGCAATTACAATGGGACACATTGGTACAGTTAAGTCCAACGGTGGTGAGCTACACAAAAGACGTAAAGGCTGTGATCTCGTGTTACAGGAGGGGTGTGGGAGCTTGCGTGGAGAGAGAATTTCTAAGAAAATGGCATATGAGCAAAGTTCTGAAAGAAAGATGAACAGGCATAAAGGAGGCCAACCGGAGGAGAAGAGTGTTGCATGCTGAAGGAAGAGCCTGCAGAAGGGACTTAGAACAAAGGGGAGGAGGCTGGTCTCTCTGCCTTGGCACCTGCCCCTTATAGTCTGATTTCTACACAGCAGCCAAAGTGATCTTTTAAAAATATAAATCTAATCTTGTCACTTCCCTGCACCAAACTCTCCAGTGAATTTCCATCTTAGAACAAAAGTTGGACTCATTATTGTGGTCACTGAGGCCCTACGAAATCTGGAGCCAACCAGACTCACTGGTTCTCACTCTCCCCCTCACTGGTTCTGACTAGCCCACTCTAGCTTTTATTTTGCTTCGTAATGCTTATGGTCACCCGAAACCTTCTGTTTTTCTCCCTTCCACCCTCACTTGAATATGAGCTCCGTAGGGCCAGGGACTTCATCCTCCTCCTCATTGCCATATCCCCAGGCTCGACACCAGTATCGACACCAGTATCTGGCACCTAGCAGATACTCAGTTATTTGTTCGGTGTGTGAATTGGGGAGCCCGTGGCAAGGACACCTAACCCGGGCAGAGGTGTCAGGAGGATGGTTCTGATGGCAGTGACATTAATGCTCAGGCCTCAGTGATGAAAAAGAGTAGTTACTCATTTTTTTTTTCAAGAGAGGAGAAAAAGAAAGAATGCATGGCCAGAGGGAGAGCAGGGGCAAGATGAAGTATGGCCAGTTAGAGGAAGTGTGGTTGGGGCATAAGGTGCGAGTGGAGAGGTGAGAAAGGAGGGGGAGCAAGGGCCAGGGCCCATAACCCCTCTTAAGGGCAGAGTGGAGCCATGGCAGGATCTAAGGAAGGAGAGAGAGTGGAAGCTTCAGAATTTGTGTTTTAGTTAGAACATCCAGTTCTCGGAGAATGGATTATAAGAGAAAAGTGGAGGTTAGGAGACCACGAGAGAGACGTTTCAGTAGTTTAGAGGAGAAATAATGGGGGTAAGGGTACAGAGAGAGAACAGAGTCAAAGATGAGCCCCAGGTTCTGGGAGGAAGGGGTTGCATTCCTGGGGAAAGAAAGCACAGGAGGAAGAGCAGAGTTGGCTGCAGGGCACAGTGACCTCGTGATTGTCCTGCTGATGGCGTCTGTGAGACACCCAGAGGGAAGGTCTGGAGGGCAGAGTCCCGTCACAGAGTCAATCCCAGGAGAAAGACTGGGATTGGAGATGGAGATTTTGGAACCAAAAGCAACTAGAAAGGAATCAAAGCCATGGGGTTGTCTCTTTGGAGAGAGCATGACGTATGAGGAGAGAAGGCCTAGACCAGGCCCCCGAAAGGGACACCTAGACAGAAAGAGGGGGGGCTGCCTACAAAAGAGAAGGAGCAGCCAAAGGACTGGGGGGACATCCGAACGTGGAGTAGAGGTTGGAGTCGTGAAAACAGGAGCAGGCTTCCGGAAGGGGGAAGTCCTGTGTCGACTGAGGTGAAGGGTCAAGTCAAAGAAGGGCCGAACCCTACCCATGGGACTTAGCAACAGAGAGACCATTAGTGACCTTGGCAGGAGCAGGTCTGGAGCAGAGAGAGGGTCCAGAGCAGGCCCGCGGAACGCAGGAAGTGTGAGAGGCGTGTAGCAACTCGTTCAGGAAGTCTGGCCACAAATAACCTCATCGCGTGCGTTGCCCCGTGAAATCCTCGTCACAGCCGCCAAGGCCACAGGAGATGAAGAAATTCGGGCTCTCAGAAGTCAAGTCGCTCCCCAGTGTCTCAGATCTGGTGAGTGACTGAGTGAGGCTTCCGATCCTGAGCAGGCTCCCCGGGGTCCCGGCTCAAATGCCCTTCCATCTTGGCCCCTCCATCTTGGCGCTCTTTAGGGGACAGGGGCACACGGGGGCAGCGGAGGGAGACTTCAGGGTTGCGGACACAAGACGCCTCGGACTGTCCCTGGAGGGAAGACCGGCTGAGGAGCAATAAAGTACTGATTCCGCCCTGAGGTTTCCATGGAACTTTCCAGTCCACATTCTTATCTTCCGTGAGCCTCATCACAACCTTGCACGAGAGGCTCGGAACAGTAGGGAATGTGTGGGCACGTTCGCTGGTGTTCGCTGTTTGAACCCCTCCTCCCTGCAGCCTTGACCGCATCTCTCTGTTGGGCTTTCCTCGAAGTCTGACCCCCGCGTTCAGTTAGTCCCCCTCGGCCTGCGCGGTGGGGTCAGCGCTGCGGTGCTGGCTCAGCCAGACTATTTTTGTCCTTCTGCTTGTCGCTTATATTTAGCTCCCAGTCACCTTCTCTGGTGCTCAGCTAAGTCTTTTAAAAGTGCTGTGCAAAGGGGACAGAGGGATGCGTCCGCGGCCACCTCGTGCGCCCCTCGTGGCCGCTGCCAGCAGGCCGGCGTGCGGGCGGGGACTCCCCCAGGGCCGCGGTCCTCAGTCGCCCCCTAGGGGCATTCGCAAAATCTGTGTCTTTTGCGCGGTCCCGGTCGGGAGGCGGTCAGAGGTGTCGGCGGTGCGAGGGCAGGAAGGGCAGGCGAGCCAGATGGCGCAGGGTCGCCCCGCGGCGGGAACAACTGCCGGTCATTCCGCTGGACGTTGGAATGTTCTGCTCAACAACACGTGCAGAGCAAAAATCAGATTTCAGCCTTGCAGGGGCGCGTGGGGG